CAATTTTAATATTAATTACTCAGTGACTGTAGGAGTGACTGTCTCTTATTTGCTTCCATATGGATTGCTTATCATGTCCTGGGTAGCCCAGATGTTGCTATCTGAATTTTTTTCAACTTGAATTTTTAGATCTGAACTGAATTAGAGCCACCTGAAATTATTTTATTTTGTTGTTGTTGTTGTTGTTGCTTTTTTTAAATTCTGAAATTAGAATTTTTAGATCACTGAAAAAAAATATGTTAAAATTCAGCATATGAAATTGGAACCCAAGAAATTATATAATTTAATTTCAAAGACATAAATTCAGAGCAAATAAATTCAGTGACTGTTTAAAGTTCAAACACTTTTGTCTCCTGTTTGCCTCCATATGTATCCAATATGGATCCAAAGAAAACTCTGAAGCTGATGAAAACTTAAGCCGCAGGAGAAACAACAAACAGGAAGTGGCTCGTATGTAAATGACTCTTTAATACGCGCAGAGATCAGAGGAGAGAGGCAGAGACACACTATCTCCAGATTTATGAAGCGAGCTCTATTCTTAGATCTGAGAAGAATTTTGACTTGTTTACAATGTCCTTCCCCTCTGTTCCCTGAGTGGGACTCCCCATGCAACACCCTGGATACCCCCCTTTATATAGAAACACCCCCAAATAAACAGGCATATAAAAATACCACTGTGCATGCGTGTGCTCGTGTGTTTCATGGGGCTGTTTGTGTACACACTGAACTACTTATATAAATCCCGGAGTTGGCCAGGTTTCAGTCGCAGCTCATGAAGGTGCTCTGTTTTTGAAACGTGGCACTGGCTTCAAACCCGAAGCCCCTATCAAAGAGAGACTCCAGCCGCTTGGCTCGGACGCCAGATTCCCCACCCTGAAGTTACACATTCCCTCACTCAACCCCAAACTAAACCCCAAACTCTGTAAACCCAAAAGCTCCCCCTGCATCCCCCCCCCCCCCCCCCNCCCCCCCCCCCCCCCTCTGTCTCTCTGTCAGCCCTCTGTGATACGTACCCCTGCAGATGCCATGGGTACGGCCCACATCGTTGCCGTAGTTGCACTCCAGGCCTTTATGGTGGTCACAGGGCCGCCCTTCATGGCAATCCTGGTTGAGCTGAGCGGCGCACACCTTGCAGCAGCCGCAGCCGTCTGGCACCGAGCTGACCCCTGGGGGACAGGACGGAGGTCCCGCCGGACACTCACACACCACCGGGCAGCCAGCAGTCACCTACAGGAGGGGACACGGTGTTAGTTAACCTGGATACTGGCACTTCATGCGGTGCATTTAAGGGGGAGCCACACTGGAACCAGGCAGGACAATAGTTTGACTCATGTTACGCAGATCACAGAAATTCCTCAAAGTGTGTGAGGCTTAAACATTCGCTGAATACCCAGCACTGTCCCCAGCCCCACAGGGATATCTGTAACCCTCTGTCGCCTTCCGCTTGGCATTCGCCGGGCAAGCGGGGATGAAAGGTGTGTTCTCTGACCCAAAATCCCCTCCTCCACACCCCCACCTTCCTGCTCCTACATCTTTTGTTTCTCCAGAGCCACTCCAATAACTCCCAGCAGAGATCACAGAGAGCTGTCTGCAGTCACCTGAAGGATCCCTTCCTGACTCTGACACCGTCTCAACCCGGGCCAGGTCCTGGTGGGCTGCTGACACCGGGTCAACTCAGTCTCATGAGGATGAAAGATATGACACTGCACAATGTGGGGACAATAGCTTTCCATTTTTAGCATCATCACTGGGGTATAACCTGGTGCTTGGAGCATGAGTCAGATAATATTTATAGTGTTCACTGGGTTCATATCGGCCTTATTTTTATTTCCACTGTTGGATAATATTACAGTAGTGTAATTTTGGAGCTACAGTACAGAAAGATAGAAGCTTATGTACTTATACTTTGTAAAAGAGTGAAGTGTGGAAGTTTTTCAGGTTAATAAACCCTTTAAACGCTCACACAAACCCCTGATACACCAAGTTTCATCAGTTTATGTAGATTTAAATGAGCAGCAGTGGAACATAACCAAGTGCATCTACTCAACTTCACTACATTTCACAGGAATATATGGTACATTTACTCTACTTGACTTAATTAGACAGTTCTTTACTGTACAAGTAACATTTTTTCATACATAAACACAAGGGTGTAGGTTATGTTGGGCGTCTTATATGAAACGATGGATTTGAGGGTCCTCTGCCAGAAAATTTCGAGCATCCAACACTTGATTTTCTGCATTCTGGTGAACATTTGGAACAAAGCTGTAATGTTTCTGCCTCAATTTATGGTGGACATGTCTCTAATTTTGTCAAAATAAAAGTCCACTGCTACTTAAATGTTTTCTGGGGTGGTTCTGGGGGAAAAAATTGTGCATTTGGCATTTAATTTGTTCATGTATTGTGGTGTTAATGCGCTATTTTGTGCCTTTTCATGTGTCAAAATAAAAGTCCTCTGCTGCTTTCAAGTTTTCTGGGAGGGGGTGGCATGTAAATGGGGGGGTTTGGGGGTCCTCCGCCAGAACATTTCGAGCATCAAACACTTAATTTCTTGTATTCTGGTAAATTTCTATGCACCAACTTGTACCGTTTCTGCCTAAATTTATGGTGAAAATGTCTTTCTATTTAGTCAAAATAAAAGTTTTCTGCTACTTTGATGTTTTCTGGGAGGGGGGCATGAAATCGGGGGATGGGTTGTCCTCCGCCAGAAAATTTTGAGTATCTAACATTTAATTTTTTGATGTATTCTGGTGTTTATGCACCAATTTGTGCCTTTTCCCTTGTCAATTTACGGTGGAAATGTCTTTAATTTTGTCAAAATAAAAGTCCTGTGCTACTTTCATATATAAACTGTGGGTTTCAGGGTCCTCTGTCAGAAAATTTAACAGCACTTAACATAAAAAATGTTCAAAATTTATGATGGAATTGTCTCTTATTCTGTCAAAATAAAAGTCCTCTGCTACTTCCATGTTTTTACTGGGGAAAAATGCGTATGTTCTAAATGTTGAGGGGGACATGTCCCCCGCACCTCCCCCCCAAAGTTATGCCTATGCATAAGCACATGACGATCCTATAAAACACAATGCATTATTACAGATTTAACTGATCTACTGAATACAGAATACTGACCAACAGCAGTAAAAAGCTTCTTACATGTTAATGCATCAGTAATAATAATTAAATGATATTATTTACAACAGTATAATTTTTAGTCATTATGAGTTATTTCTAATAATAATACTTAAAAACTTTTACTTGTGTGACGTTTTCCGTGCATTTTATGTTGCAGTATGTTTCTGAAAGTCCTTAGCAGTCCTATCCTGAACTATCCTAATACTCAATTTGCTGAGGACCCCCTGAGGCGTCCCCCAAGGACCTCTGGTGGTCCCTGAACCCCACTTTGGAAACCACAGATTCTCCACACATTACCAACCAACACTAAGTCACTGAAGGAGAAGTTAAGTGTACAACAGGTACAGTATTATTCACTGGTGTGCGGCGGAACAGTGGGTTTACTTCGGCCATAATTATTTTGACATGCAACACTGCACAGTGAAAGCAGACCGACAGCAGCAGCTCCAGAAGCGGATTTGAGCTGCCGCTGCACGTGAGTCTTTATTCCTCTGTGTTGACATGAAGCAACAAACAGTGACAGAAAATAAACTCCACGCACTCACCAGGCTGACTGTCACCACCTGCAAGACAGCAAATAATAGCAGTATCCCCATGCTGTCAGCTGAGTCACAGGAAAGAAAAAGAAGTATGTAAGTCACAGCAGAATAAATCCTCCTCCGGCTCAGGAACAATAGCTTTTGTCCACAAAGGTTAAATCCGTCATGCGCGATGCTCCTCTTCTCCTTCTTCCATCACTTGTACATTTTTCATGGATCAAACTTTGAGGCTTGTTTTTATATCAGCCCCGTGCTTTTTATGGCGGCCACGCCCACCCCAGACCGCCTTTAACCAATTAGGAGGCAGGCGCGCGGCCAAGGTATCCCCTGCAGGGAGGGGAGGTGGGCGGGGCTTGGAGCCTCCAACACGGACGGAGCTGAGGTTTGGGGCAGAGGGGGCGTGGCCGAGCATGAATGCAGTCATTCATAAAAATTCAGAATTACTACATTCCAGTGAGGACCTGGCTTCTGGGTGTTTATTTATTTATGTTTGAGCGAAAATAATATTTTCGATGCTTTAAAGTTCTTTTCACACGCATACCTCTGTCCGGTCGCTGCTTTGTGAAAAGTAAAATAAATATACTCAGCTGCTAGTCTGTGCTACATTAATACAGGGGGCAGCCATGGAAAACAGGGAGGAATTTCCTTCCCCCACTTTATAAAAATACTTGTAGACAAGAAGCGGACAGATAAAGTACACACACAAGGAGGGCCGAGTGTGTCTTGGAGCTGCGTGTAACGACGTGATTGAGTGATAGTGATGTTGAAAATGATTATGATAATCTCCCGTGCAATTTATCACTCTCCTTTCCTCCCTCCATATCCTGTCTTTAGCCCCCACATCCCTTTTACCTACTCAGAGGTTCCCAGGCCACCTCTCTGCACACACACACTCACACACAAACAGCGAGCCATGTAAACACACAAGAATTTAGTTCCTTTGGTTTTTCAGTGAGGAGAGCAGAGCGGAGGTGAGCACCGCCTGGATAATCTTCCTGTCATCCCCACAGACACGCACACAGGAAACCAGCCATCTGCAGTACCTGAGCTGGTGGCTAACGTACACACTGATGCTCTCTGTGTGAGAGGGTTAAATACGAATCCCACATGTGTGCACTCTCAAACATCACATTAAAGTGTTCACCGGTGACACACGCAGTGGGCAGCTTGTTGAAATTCAGTGAGAGGGATTGTGGGTGGTTAAATTGTCGTTTTCCCTCGTAGCTTCCCTGAAATGTATCATTAAGCAGAGGGAAGCCTGCAGTCATTTGTACCATCGTCCCCCCTCATCCTAAATCAGCCCCTGCACTTAACCAAATGGTCACATGCAGAGTGATGCATTCATTGGGTCACTGCTGCAGCACACTCCAAAAGCCTTCGCACACATGTAACTCCATTATGTGCTTTACATGTTATACCATTATATCCAAGTCACAGACCTGAGCAGCTGATAAACCCAAACACTAATCGGAAGGTATTTTCAGATTCTTTAAATCATCTGGTTAAAAAATGATGTGTGTTGCACAGTAACAAATCTTTTTAAAGCTATACTATTGTAGTGACGCCCACATTTCCCAGCATGCTGGACTAAGTAGTTTGTAGTTTGCTGTTACGTTTGCTGTTTTCTGCTCCATAATGCAGGTGTCATTTTTTGTAATTGCCATGTCTGTTCAGAACATGGTGGTTTATGCTAGTTATTGTCATTTGTGTGTTAATTAGTTTGCACCATTAGTGAGTTGGTTATTCCACTTCATGACACCAGCTGTAATTTCTTACGAGGTGTTCACAGCTGATGGTAATCTACACAGCGTAACAATTTATGTTAAAATTAACACTTAACACTTGCACTTGTACTCTGAGGTTGGAAATTCCCAGTTCCCAGTCGGAAGTTTAAACTGGAACGCACCCTGAGATCAGATTTCCAACTCGGAAACTTGGAGCAACCGCATCAACCCCGACTTACGAATTCAAGATGGCTGCCGGTCACATACATAGTGAGTAAACACTCTGCTTAAGTACTGTTTATAGCAGTTTTATCTTATTTGTTTTACATTAGGTCAGCCATACCGTAGTACTGTTCAATTTTTATCCGTGGGCATGTTGCTGCGCTGTCTGTATGTGCAAATTACCACATAGAGCATTGTTATCAACTGATATTGCTAACAGTGGCTACGGCTAGCCCAACGGTAGAACGGTTACGTCCATGTTTTTTCCACTTGTCCACTGTTGTGTTGTCAACTAGAATGCAAAAGCTATTGTCAACTCGGAGGTGACGTCATTCCCACTTCTGACTTCCGACCTCCGAGTACAAAACGAACGCACCATGTAGCTCTGTGTCTGGGACAGAGTCACTCACACAGTGACAGGGCTAACACTTAGCATCACAAAGCTAACGCTACCCAATTGTTATTGACAGTGTTGGGCAGAAGCATTGTTACCTCTCTCTCAGTGACAGCTTACCAGCTCTGAACCATAGCTGCAAACATCCTGGCTTATTAACATTAACTTAGCTTCTTATTAGCTGGTAACTAGCTTCTAGCGGTGCAGGCCACTCTGCAGCAGGAAGAATGGCGAGACATTCGGGCGCCGTTCACCAACAATGACTTTATTACTGTCTTCACAACAAAACATTAAACATGGCCTTCTCATGAGGTTGGAAGGGGAAAAAGGTTGAGCTGGTAACAGCGTCACTATAAGTTGCGATATTACTAACTTGACTGCATTTCTCATTGGCGTGGTGGTAACGTCACGACTTTCTGAGTCAAACAGCTTTTCGGTAGCGAAGTTGATTAATTGAGTGACCAGTGTGGTAGCACCTGCAAAAGTAACAAGCAATTTTTCCCAGAAGACTTTGTTCCTGCAGAGGTCTGGATAAAAGTAAGGATAATGGAACTGAGGATGAGTAATGTGACTGATGCCAGCAAGACGAGGGAAGCACTTCCATACGACATCAAATATTAATCCTTCAGTTTATTCTGCTTGCTGCTTTGCTATTGGCTTTTCTTGACAAGGCCCGCCCTGCTCTGCCTCTGATTGGCTACATTGCACTTCTTGATGCGTCTTGACCATAGACTGTAGTATATATTTAGTAGATGGTGGACACCAAAGAAAAAGACACAAAAATCTGGCTTTCTAGGTCGCAACAATCCAAAAACAGCATGCAAATTCCCGGAGAGACTGACTTATGAATGACTCTCAGTGTGGTGGTGTATTTATCTGCAGAGACACTGCCCTCTGTCTGTATTTTCTTATTTCCTTCTTATGTTGCTGTGTACAGGATGTTCCCTGGCACAGAGCACAGGTGAGGTCACGGTTTTATGAAAAGGTTGTGACCATGTGTCAGACCATGAGCAGCACATATCCAAGAGGAAGCTACAAAAATCAGACAAAACACAAAGATAGCAAATCTGGTTCTGCTTTCATTTATCCTGTTCACTAACGGTAGCGGACATTTCCTGCATTGTAAAGCCTTTAACTCTTTCTCCAGCTGCAGCTCTCCGTTGTTAATTTACATAAAGAAAACCATAAAAAGTTGTAGGCCCACTATGGTAAGGTTCAGAAGTGAAGTTAATGCATATTTTTAAGTTAATAGTGTTTTTATACAACTATTCACAATTTTACACATTTAAATACTTTTATCAGTGATGATGAAACAGTGACAATAATGTGATGAATCTACCTCTGTGGTTTTTCTATCATTTACCTCAGTCTGTCTTCCTAACTTCTGATTGGTGAACTCAGTCACATGAGCCTGGAACAAGAAAATGTTGCTGTGCAGTAGAGTAAAGTGCTGCTTAGGTAAGTCAACCATCTCCATCCTGCTGTTTCTTCTCAATAAGACTGATCCAGCCCTCATGGTACACATTTATATTATATTTTCAAACAATGTCAAAAGTTAATACTTGCTGTTAAACAATACTGAGAGTCTACAGCCATGTTAACAGCTCTGTAGGGACAGGGAAGCTTTGAGCTAATTGATAACATCAGCATGGCCACATGTTCACAATAACAGTGCAAATATCCCAGATTTCAGCAGGTATAATGTTCTCCATGTTCACAGTCTTAGTTTAATGAGTTACATGCAAACATTTGCTGATCTGCACTGATGGGAATGTCATTAGTTTCACTGGTTTTTGGTCATAAACCAAAGCATTAGAAAATAATGTGGATTTTTTGACCCGATGGCTGCACTAATGGAAAATTCTTCAAAGTGATTACAGCAGCGCCAAATTAAGTAAGAATTCATGGAATAGTTGTTCAGACATTTAATTCAAATGTAAACCTGCTGGTTGTGCTAGAGGAAAAGTCAGGGGATCAACAAAGTCACAAAGAGTCATCCTCTGGAAACCATGAACGTCTGTGCAAAACAAAATGTTTCCAGTGCCAAACCTAGTGCATTCATTGCTCTAAGCAGGCCTCCCCCTCCTGATTTTATTTTTTAAATTATTATTATTATTACAAACAAGAAGGAGACTTTACTTAGAAGACAACACAAAAAAGAACCGAGCAAGCAAACAAAAATTATGGATAGCAAAAGAATATGGTATGTGCAAATTTGCAAATTTCACTGCCTTCATTTTTTATTTTTAAATTTTATTTCCTTTTTTTTTTTTTGTATTGCACGCCAGATGACTTTTGCCTTTTCATTTTCTCTTACTCTAAATGTGTGTGTCTTCATACTGTTTTTCTTTATCAGAAAATCAATGCCAGTTTGCTTCTATGACAACAATATCTTTTGTTTTCTGGGGGCTTTTTGCCTTTAATTGATAGGATAGTAATAAGTCATGTAGCAAGCATGACATGTAGCAAGGGGCCACAGGCTGGAATCACACCCAAGGCCACTGTGGCAAGGACATTGCCCCCGCACATGGGACACCTGCTCCACTCACTGAGCCACTATGGGGTGCCGTTTGTAAAGTGGCTCACGCTGAAAATAACATCAACATTTTGCCACATTTAGCTTCAAGCAATGTTTAAAAAAGTGGTGTAAATTTTTTAACATCACCTTTTACCACATTTACAGCAATATTGTTAACTTAGAAATATATTAAATAGTTAAATCTAAATATTAAATGTGGCACCTAAATGTTAAATCTAAATATTAAATCTAAATCTAAATCTAAATATTAAATGTGGCACCTAAATGTTAAATCTAAATATTAAATCTAAATCTAAATCTAAATGTTAAATCTAAATGTTAAATC